CTCCCTGCTCCGCGGGAAGCCTGCTTCTCCCTCTCCCACTCCCCCTGCTTGTGTTCCCTCTCTCACTGTGTCTCTCTCTGTCAAATGAATAAATAAGATCTTTTAAAAAAAAAATACTTTTTCTAAGTATGAGATTATTCAACAACAAAGATTAAAAATTTTTTTTTTCTGTTCACTTGCAAGAATTACTATGGATTCATCTTTTATCCACCCATTATCATTGATTCAGAATGTATAATTGAAAATAATCATTCATGTGTTCCTTTTGTCATTGTATTTGCCATACAGAGCTCCATAGTAAGTCTCTTCTGTTTCTTGAGAAACCTATGAGTCTTCAAAATTTACCTGACTTTTTAAAGGCAAAGATATCTGAGGTTCGTCTTGTACCTTCCCTGCCTCATTCCAGAAATTGTTTATTTCTTCAAGGATTATCTATATTATATTAATGGGTTATCAGTGAGTTATTTGTATGATATTGTCTTTTAATTATATCCTAATTCTTTCTTTTGTCTAGAGATTTGTCTTTTTTCTTTTTTGCAATCAATTTCTGCTGTGTGCTAGAGAGTTATAGTTCAGTGCTGAATGAAATAGGGGTTGGGCCTGCTTTTGGAGTTAGTTTTCTGTTGCTTTGTAACAAATTACCACAAATTTAGTAGCTTAAGACTATAGTCCTATGTAATCAAATAATTGTATAGATCAGTTCAGCACAGGATGGCTAAATCCAAGTATCAGCTGTGACTGCAGTTCTTTGGGGCATGGGGTCTTCTTCCAAGCTCACGGGTTACTGGCAGAATTTATTTCCTTCTCACACTTTCCATGTGGCCCCCTCTGTCTTCCAGTCAGCAACCAGCAAGTCTTGTCCATCTCACACTTTGAAGGTCTCTGACTTCTCTTCTGCCCTCAGCCAGGAGAAAGCTCTGCTTTTTAGGGCCTACCCAGATAAGCCAGGTTAATGTCTCCGTCTTAAAGCAACTAATTAGTAACCTTAATTACATATCTTTTGCCATGTGATGTAACATATTCACAGGCATGATGTGGGCAAAGGTCATGAAGGCCAAAATATCTATCACAGGTAGGTTTGGGAGAAGTAAATTAAAATTTTTGACAAAGAGAAATAATTATATAATTGAAAACAGGTAGGAATTACAAGAATTAAGTGTTAGAAGATAAAGACATGGACATCCTTAGACAAGGTCAGCAATTTACAGTATCCTGATAAAGTGACATTTTACCTTAAACATATATAGGATGAGAAGGATCCAGTCTGCAAACAACACATGCCAAAGAATTTTTGGGAGATGACATCACCTGCAGATGGAACCAAAAGATGAGAAAATTTGTGACACATTCCAAGTGCTGAAAGGGGAAAGTGAGGTAAATAGGGAACAAAGAAAATTATGACTTGATATGAGGCCTGATAGGTAAGCGGGGATCATATTAATGAAAGATACATGGATTTTACTCTAAGTGTAAAGAGAAGCCACAGTGGGGGGAAATGAAATTTCATCTGTATCAGAAACATTTATAAGAAATGTTAAACATATCAGTGCCCAGGAACTTGCCTTGTGTATTTTGATTCAGGAGGTCTGGGATGATGCTGGAATATCAGTTTCTCAACAAGCTCTTCAAAGATTCTGATCCACACCTAATATCAGAAGTGAAACCTATTTTATCACCAACGTTGGTATTTTAAATAAACTCTCATTAATCTCTGTATTTCTCTTTGACCTGTTTTTGATTTTTATAACAGTATTTTAGTATTGCCTAGCCTATTTATTTCTAGTAGATATTTTCAATGTGTCTCTTCCATAGAAATCTCTATTCCTATATTTTCTCATATAGGAAAACAATATTTGGGGGTTTTTTTTTGTTTGTTTTCTTTCAGATTTTCAGTTGAAGGATGAGACAGTCAGCTCTAAAGAAATGCCCACTATTGAGAAATGTACATCTTTTGCTCTACATCAGAGACTTCTTAACAGAGAGCAATCATGTGAATGTCAGGAATGTGGGAAGACGTTTTGTCAAGGCTCAAACTTTGTTCAACATGAGAGAACACATTCTAGTGAAAAAACCTGCAAACGTAAAGAATGTGGGAAGAACTTTAGTAATGGACATCAACTCACCATACATCAGAGATTTCATATTGGTGAGAAACCTTA